GGTTTCTTTACGCAATCATGACTATACCTTGATGTAGATCTTCCCGTTTTCCTGCACAATCTTAATTCCTGGGCTTCTCAAATGCGCATTGGAGTCCCTGGGCATGTTGTGTAGGTGTAATGGCAACCACTGTGAAGTCAGACTGTGAGCATCTGTCTCACGTTTGGCTCGTCGGTTTGGCTCGTCCGACATGTATGATGTGCGTTATTCAATATTATGTTAATCAATGTTTTATTTTATGTATTGCTATTCAACGTAACGTTTATTCAGTGTATTGTTTTCGACGCAATGTTTATTGAATGTATTGTTAGTCAATGTATTGTTGTTCAATGTAATGTTTTTTTTAATGTATTGTTATTCATCATAATAACAATGTAATGTAATACAATATAGTACTATTCAATGTATTTGGAGTATCGAGCTCTCAGATGACAGACTTTGTCGCAACTCTACCGGCCACGCTCTTTCCCACACACCCGCTCACCTTGCCCATATCCATGTCCAACTGCCTCACTATATCTCATCCGTGCCATGTTATTGTTATTATTATTATTATTATTCCGCCCACTACAGACCCGCGGATTTCCTTCTGTGCGAGTTGTGCGGTGTGTATAGATGACTTTGCTGAAGGAGACCTTCTGCGGCGCCTGCCATGCAGCCACGTGTTTCACCAAGAGTGCATTGACCCGTGGCTGCTCCAAAAGTCGTCCTGTCCTTACTGCAAAATGAACTACATGACAAAAAAGTACCCCGCCTCCTCCAATTCTCAGTCGAACCTGGTGTATACGTCCAGTGGTAGTCGTAGAGATTCTTCTTGGACTATTTCGTACCGTAATAGTGCCGGTAGTACTGGTCTGGACCGGGGAAGCTACCACCACCACACGCACCCCAATCACTTTGCCCCGGGTGTGGCAGGGCCTGAGGAGAGTATACCGGACCTGGAGACGTACACGAACCTCAACAACACACACCCAATAGTCGACTCTACCGAGGAGGATACGGCGGATATACCTGATCTGAGTACCTTCGAGGACAGTGATAGTGCGCAGGCGTCTTCCGAAACCAGCGCCAGTGGCATCGACTCGTATGAGGATGTCGCTGCGCCTGTGCACACATTTAGGCCTGGTGGTGCGGATGTGGGTCAAGGGGTAGAGAGTGGCATGCAAGGGCAGGGAGAGCCCAGTGAGACTCCGTTGGACAGAACTTTGCCAAATATGGGAGAGAAAAGCGCGGCACACGCCGAAGTATCGTTTGCTGAACGAATCAAAAGCCGGGGTATGAGAGAGCCCAATGAGGAGGACAGGGAAAAGGACGGCAAGACAGATGCAGACGAGCGGTTGGACGGCCTGCATACCAGTCTGGAGGTGGGGAGTGGCGGAAGCGACAGCGAGAATGACGATAGCGGACATGTGTACCTGGTCTGATATATATATATATATAGGTATATAGATTATTTGAATGTATCTTAGATATATATAAGTATATGGATATAGAATAT